TACTATAAAATTAAAAATAATTAAATTTCAAATTACGACAATATAAGTAGCTTTTTTGGTCTATACTATTAAAAATTAATAACAAATAAAGCAAGTATACTTGTAACATCTAGTCAATCTTGGGCAGTTGTCCAGATAACAATAACGATTAAATTTCTGGCCATATTGGATTGCACATCATAGTAATAAAGAGATCAGTTTTTCTGATATGTAACAAAGACATTGCATCCTGATATCTCTGTATCATATCTCAGGGCTATCTATAAAAGTTGAAGGAAGAACAACTTTTTATCTAATATCTTCTAGATTAGTATTTCTACGCATGACGGCATCATGAAGGCCTTGTTATAATTTGCTTTGAATCTTTTTTTGGTTATGCCGTAAAAAATTAATATGATTTGCTTTGATTTTAATATACATATCAACATATATTGCTAGAAAAGTCTTCCGTTTGTAATAGTATGTTTGTGCACTGAGGCCAAATTTGAAGCTGATATGCATAATATTCTATTGCGCTTACAAATTTTCTACATCGTATAAAAGTAGAATTGTTATCATCAGGTTCTTCATCATCGTAGTTAATCTCATTTTCATCAGATTCAACTTGTTCATGCTTAATGGTGATGTTTCTGTATAGAATTTGACAAGGAGCCCACCTTTGCTTGCTATAAGGAAACAGTAGAAGATATGCCAATAGATCATAGCATTTGCTAAATTCTGAAATTCATATTAGCTGATTTATTGAAGTATGCAATATGATGTCATATTTCTGAATCATTTCACAAGGAATATCATTATCGATCCAAATAGCTGCAACCAGTATTTAAAATTCAAAAAAAATTTACGTGCACAAATGTATTTTGTGCATCTTTTTTTAAAAATTTTACATACACACTTAATAGATTTTTAAAAACAATAACACTAAATTGCACCACCGGTGTTCAACACCAGTATGCTGTATAACATGAAGATCATCATCAAAACAAATAAGCAATGAATTAAAAAAAATTAAAATTTAATTAATATTAAGGTTAGGGCTAAAGTCTAGGATGGGACAAGGATATAGTTTATACCAAAATTTTGCAAGGAATTTTTTTATTAGAACACAAAAAGTGGTTTCATAAGCAAAATATTAAGTTATTAAAGATTTTTTAAAAAAATAACAAAGTTTGTTTTGATTTTTATGTTATACCGTATCTTGATGTTATACTGCAGATCAATGATTTTATTGGTTAAAATTGATGTGGTATTAAACACCACTGGTGTGATTTAGTAAAACCATTTAAAAATTCAAAAAAATCCAAAAAATTTCATGCACATGTACATCTTGTGCATGCCAATTTTAAACCCTGGCTACAACTTGAGATGCAGTAGGTGCATTTTGAGTTCTTTGATCAAGACCATGGATATTAGTATGGAGCCTTACTACTAAATTTTTCATATTTACTGCAGGTAAGGTCACAATACGATGAAAGTTTGCAACATAGGGGTTGATCTGATCTAACATCATCTTTAATGCTTGAAGTATCTACATATCACGATTGGAATTAGAAATAGTATTTGTATGGTATTGCAATTTATTCTGAGTATCCCAGATATACATTTGCAGATATTGGGCTCAGAACCTCATTCAGGTATTAGTGAGCCAATTTGATGGTAAAATGAACCTTGAACTCGAAAGGTGTAAATGCTCTTTCTAGCGTTAGCAAGATTACGATCTAAATTAACACCTAGAGAAGTAAAGATGAATGCTGAATTGTAAAGACGTATTTTATAACAAAATTCTCTAGTGACATCATCTTGGTTAAAATAAAGTTGTAGCAGTAATGGTAGAATAATGGGCTTAGCCAAACCAACTTTTTCATTAGAGCAGCACATTTCAGAATTTTCTATAGGCAGCTTTAACATATTGCAGTGGTCACAGTAGAAAGCATCATCAATATTAATTCTATGTAGAATAGAATAAGTGCTTGTATTTTTCAAAAAATTGTGGACAATGTTGCTTAGTCAAGAGTAATTAGCGGATATTTATAGCTAGTATTTTGTGTATTGTCTGTTTCTTCAACACATCATTTATTGTTTGAATTTTGCATTCAAAGTTCACGTAGGACTTCATGTTCCTCTACACGATGCTGTTGGTGGCATTATTATCCTGATAGTGTCTCTGCTAGCATTGTGTTTTGGTTTCACGCTTTCTACTTTCTTGTTTTCTAGCCGTATTAGTCTTGTTTTGTCAGAAAATGCGCTTTACGTGGTATAGTAACAAAGGTTTGCAATAAAAATTATATGTTAAGTGCAGTAGAAAGAGGATAGATAATATGACGTTTTTTTGGAAGGTATTTATATGTAGTTAGTAGGTGGTATTGTTGTATTTAACAATAACTACCCCTGATGCACCAACAAAGCACTATTATTATCATGTGTTGATCAACAGAATTAATCTAATAATGAATCCTGAGTTCATGTAATACAACACAAACAGAAAAAATTAATTCAAACATTCATTTTGAAGATACTGCTTATATTTATTAAAAATTTACATAAGAAACCTTTTTCTTGAACTAATTAAAAATTTTTTTTGAGCAAAATTACTATTAATACCATTAAATTCTAAGCTCATATAGACCAAAACTCGAACATAACTGAACTGTAAAAGAATTTTGTTGCTTATCGTATAAAAATGACCTATTATTGGTGAGTAGTTATTTTGATTGTTTCAAAAAGAAATTATTGGTAATACACAAAATGGTCAAGATTCTTGCAAAGTTTAGTACAGAAAGTGCTTATAACACAATGCATAAAATGCATATCTTAAAAAAATTGTACGTATTTGATTGCTAGTGTATACCAAAAAAAAAGCTATTAACTCAAAATCTATACTATAAAACTATCTTCAGTACACGACTTCTTGCAAAATTTTGGTATAAAAATTGATTTAAGGTATTGTATACGTAGTCTACCGTTAAAATAAAAAATTTATTTACAATATATGCAGTATATAAATTACTAATATCATGATTTTTGAAAACAATAACTCAAACTATAATATAAAAAATAATCTGCAGTAAATGATTAAAAAAAAGTCATGCAAAATTGTAGTCTAAGAACATTTTATTAAAATATTGAATCTAAACTTATCATAACTTTTTTAATTACTTTTGCATAATTGTTCGTATTTATTAATGTAGATCATCTGACAGATATATTTAGCGCTGTACTATAGGGCCATATATAATTAGTTACACAAATCATACTTTCAGAATTGACTAATTAGAATTATTTTATTCTGAACAGACAGTAAAGGACCCCGAGCAATCTATATATAGCTAAGATTTTTAAAAAATCTTAACAAATTACTAAAAAAGTAAAAGATCTGCGTAAAAATAGTCAAAAATAAGCATATATATTACTAAAAATAGTAAAGATCTGCAAAAAAATAGTCAAAAATAAGCAAAAATAAATTCTAACCTATTTATGTATAGCTCGGGGTCCTGACAGTAATAATTTTAATAGTATAGATAATAAGAGAGAGTGATGTTAACCAGAGAAGCAAGTTAGCAAAATCCTATTTATAATAGTTTAAAAAATCTTAAAAATTCTTTTTATATAATGATTTTTCTCAAATAAAATAATAGCATATTTTATTTTAAAATCTAGATTTGTTTATTAATAAGCTAAAATACTATAGACTTACTAAAATATTTTAAAAATAAATAATATATATCTAAATTTATAAATTGCTTATTAATTAAAAAGAATAAGTAATCTAATATTAATATTATAAATTTAAATAAGAAAAAAATAAATTTAAATCAATTATCTTTAGATTTATAAAAACTGTTAGTATTAAGATATATTTTTCTAGATCTATAAATAATAGTAAATTTATATTTATAGAGTTAAAATCTATCGAGCTAAGCAATTTTGATATAATTATTAAGAAAATAAAATTTTAATACAAAATAGCTAGCATAAAAATAAAAAAAATTATAAAGATAAGATTTAATATATTAAACTATTAAAATAACTATAAAATACTTTTATATAACTAAATAGTTCTTTTTAGCTAGAGTTAAAGAATAACTTGTATAAACAATAATCTTTTTTTTATTTTTATTTAATTAAATCTAATATATCAGTAAAAAACTAAAATATTTTAAAAAATTAAATTCATTAAAACCAGAGCTATAATAAGTTTTTTCAAACTTTTTAAAACTTTTTGATACTTTGATAACCAATAATATCTAATATTTTTTATAATAATAAATTTAATAAAATAGCAATTTTGTAAATTTAGAAATAAATTATTAATAATAAGATACTAATTTAAAGAATCTATATAATTGCTTTAAATATTAAAAAATAAATTTTTAAATAACAAATTTTTTCTAAACCAGTTAATATTTTTAGTATACTTATAATATACTTTAAAAATTTTAGTTTATTACAAATAAATCAATACTTTTCACTAGTCGAAATCAAAAATATCTTTTTTATATCTTCAAATAATTAGTCAAGATGATAGCAAGCTGATAGGCTGTTAGCTATAAACAAATTGGATAAAAAAAAAAAGCTGATAGGCTGAAGATTTTAGAAAAATATATTACATATCAGTTAATTTTATCAAAAAATTATACAAATATCATTATAATGATACAAATCAAAATCAAAAATATTACAATAGTACTATATAATAATTACCTAAAGTAATAGCAGGCTGATAGGCTATTGACTATAAACTAATTGATAAAGTATAAAAAAGCTGATAAGCTGACAATTTGAGTAAAATATATTATATATCGATCTGATAATTAAAAAAGATTCAAATATTGAAGATATTAAACAGATATATATATTTTTTTGGTTTTAAGGTGAGGCCTTGCTCATATCTTTATTAGTAATAATTTTTTCATAGTAACAAAATAAATTATTATAGCACAGGAACCTGTCTACCAGTTGGTTAGGCCAGAAAGAAAATTAACACTTGGTCCTACTATTGGGCCAAATATAGTACTTCTTTAAATTATATTTT